TCAATTCACAAATTATAACCATTGGGTTAACGTATTTTTGAAATATCACTCCTTCACAAATATGTTAAATCCTTGACTTTACGTCAATCCATGTCTGGAGATGATATATATAGGAAATTTTATTCTTTCGTTATCCACAACTTGAGTATGTCTTCCGAGGTCGACACACCCAGAAAATCCTTGCCATCAAACTAGTCAACATTCTTCGCATAATTCTACCATGAGCGCGTTGTAAACATTAATGAAATATGAATCTTCAAGGATATTCCAAACTGCAACATTTTTCAGGACATTCAGGATGTGACAGAATCAGTTTGAAAATATAATTTGATGAACTTCTGTGTAGACAGAACCCAGAGGAACAGACTTTTTCACAAAAATCCAGAAACACTTCGATTTTGAGAGGGATACAGGTTTAATTCAAATATCATTACAAAACCCTTCATTCATTTGAGCGAACTGTCATCCCCTATTTTTTTTAAAAAATGGGGTTCATTTGAAGTGCTTTCGATTTCCTATGCACTGCTGCCTTGCTAATGATAGGTTAGTATTGAGTTTGGTTGGGAGGAGAAGCAATTGGGTATTGTGGAGTTTTGGATATTTAGTAAGGAGTAAGTTGAACTGGGATTTTGTGATCCAAGTTGGTGTTTGTTGGGGATGGAGCTGGATGACTTTCAGAACGTTCATTTCATGTTTGATGCAGTATGATGATATGTTGTTGGAATTCTATAAAAAAAGTCCTCAAAGGTTTTCATAAATTAGGTTCCATATGTTATATGAAGTTCTGAATCACTCGTAATATATTTTTCGAAAAATGGAAGAGTGAATGGCAATGATTTGAATGTTGCAGTATATGATTTGTGTTTGTCAATGTCAGTTAGGTATACTCTATTTTGTGAATCGTGGTGGAGTGTTCGAATCCCATTTCATAACTATCTCAATTCATCAGTTACGGGATGGAATTGGGAAGGTAGGGTAGTTCCGAAATAGTTGGCTCTATTCCACTTTTCATTACAACGGGGGGCTTCTTAACTTAGCCCATCGCTTCATTTATTAAGTGATTTCTTAGATCGGTTGAAAACAGTGAGATTCTACTGAAATCCTGATCTGTTTCGTCACGGGGCAGACTCAGAGAATGCTCTCTGTTACCAAGACCTACATTTCCTCGTCAAGGATAATTCTGTTCTGTTTAAAATATGTTTTTCCGTTAATCAGCTGTCGCCCCCATACGAACCTCTCAGAAGTTGAGAAACTTGTGCGACCTGAGGACTAACGAGGTTTTACCCTTCAACGTGTGATTCCTAACACGGTCCATCCTAGACTGTTGTACATTTTCCTCCATCTGATGAGTACGTGTGATTCCTAACACGGTCCATCCTAGACTGTTGTACATTTTCCTCCATCTAATGAGTATCTAATTTATTGGTCATTTTTCAACCACCTTCGTTAGATAAGTGAGAAACTCAAATGTATGGCTTGGAAACTGCATCCACCAGTCAGAAAGACTCTACTGACCCTTTTCAATGACCTGTAGCCATCCAACTCTGGAACCAAATTTTGGATCATCTTCAGAAAAACCTTCACGTCAGCCATAACTGTAAACTAAGGAGATACTAATCGAGTGGTCGATTAGAGGTTGTGGGATATTGAAGGTGCAAGATTCCCATGTTGATGACCGCAGCAGCCAATCCATGTCCAAGTCTGCTATACCTAAGGATTCCAGTCAAGCAGGGGTTTTCGCCTCTGGTTTCGATTAATCTTCATTTGAGCGTGAGCAGAGGAAGTTTGCTTCTTCTTCTATTGGAGGATGTGCTTCTGTTCCTCTAGAAGTTGGTGAGAAGCTGAGATTTCCAAAGCTGAGAAACAGTACTGAAAATATTCTTTATGAAGAACTATATACTCCGAAATTGACTCATTTCATCTCTTTCAACGTACCTACCCAATTGGTTTTGGGGAATGCCTTCCATGAAAAACTGCTTCCCGGACTAATACCCTGACGGAAATCACATTGTCCCCGACAGAAATATATGCATCTAGGTGCTGGATCTTTTGCTACTTTTTCAATTTATCAGAATAATTTATGAATTTTCGTGAAGAACGTAATAATAATGCTTTGAAATGATACATTACGAGTGTATCAGCACATATCAATGAAGCAAGCAATGCAAACTTTGGCCTGAATGAATAGCAAATTATCCCAACATTGAAATCAATATTTCAATAATTCATTTATCAATCCTTTCATTACACACACCCTGAATTCTCTAGATATTCTAGTTCAGTAATACTTTATGTGCTGATTCACAAAAGAAACTAGCAACAACAAAAGCAGTTGTTGTTTTCCATCAAAAAATACAAAGTGAAGAGTACAACAATTGATTTTGAAAGTAAAATAATTACTTACTTACGCTGTAAGTAAAATAGTATTTTCAAGAAAAAAACTATCTAACATTTATTTTCGATTTTTTTAAACATGAATGAAAAACAGAACATTTGTTAAACATAGAACCATAATATTCTGGTCAAAATATACAGATGAGGACAAAGTACATTATATACAAACGAATATGACACCCTGAATGTACTTACATAAGAATTGAAAAAAGAAATGAAAATTCAACAAATATACAGGGTATTACGGTATTCTACTTCAAATAAGACACTTTTTTTGGTGAAATCCCAACTGAAGGTGTTATGAAAATACTTTATTTGAATGAAATATCATCAAATACTCTTGTCCTGAATTACAGGCTTCAAATGGCTAAACTTTTTAGAATACATTCAATCAGAACTGAATCAAGAATTAGACTGTACATATCTATAGAAAAAAAAATAAGAAACATTACATAATATGAAGGGACTCATATCAAAATGCAAATTTTTAATATCTGCAGAAAATATATATTTCATTGAACGGAAAGTACAAATGTTCAAATCTCTTAAAATATTCATTCTCAGTAAGAAATATTATTGAATAATATGTATGAATCCATATAATTATCACAAGTTTTGATGTCATGTTCAATTTTTGTTGAAAGGAACCTTCAAACACGCCCAGCATTATCGATATCTTCTGGTTGTCCTCATCATCCATATCCGGAAACTCAAATTTGGAAGAGGAAACAATTATCTTGAAACATAATGATTGAGATGAATTACTATATTTACGTAACGAGGCAAAAACGTGTTCGATCAATAGTTTTCATGACTTGAATCACTTTATGAAATTCGTTTCAAAGAAGTGGAGTTCTGATTTTATTTTGTTTTCTAAGAAGGTACAAATGAAAATGAAGAATCGGAATCTATGGAGGCAGCTTTATTCTGTTTTTGGTATGTTTACTGTGTTACATAACTAGTATTAGAGACGCTTCGAATTCCAAAGGAGTTTCTAGAAACTCATTCTGATGTAACCATCGGATATAACAGGTCATGTTCTCTATATTTTTTTAATAGTGTCAGGAAACTGAAAAAGCCATTTCAATGGAAAGGTCGCTTGAAGGAAGAAAGTGAGTCTGTGAGACTGAAAGTTTTTGCTACTGTTGAATGAAATCAGCAAGAATAACTGAGCTTCCAGAAAAAAACATGTATACATAAAATATGCGACACATCCTGGCGAAGCAGAAACAAATTAACAATAATCACATGATCTGAATTTTACAATGAGGGAAAATTTGTGAATCGTAAAATCACCTTATACGCATGTCAAATACAGTTAGAAAATCAACGTTAAATAAAAAAAAATGCTAGTTTTTAGATTCCAGATAAAAAACATGTATTTTGAAATAGACTACTTCCTTCCTTTCTTTGGAAGATTCCCACATCTTTTTTTATATCAAGATGGAATAGTAGAAAGCCAAAAACTTTCTTTTCCATAAAAAACATGTTTTGGATGAAATTTGATTATCATTCAATATAGTTGCCTACCAGAGCGAAACAATAATCATAGTATCCTTAGAAAAGGCCTAAGTTTTGACGATTACCTCTTTATCAGCGTTAAATTTTTTCCCAATGAGCATTCTTTTGAGGTCTGAGAAAAGGAAAAAAAATGGATATGAGATCTGGAGAATACGGTGGATACGGAAGCAATTTAAAGCCCAATTCATGCAGTTTTGCCATCGTTTTCATCGATATGTGACACGGGACATAGTTTCGATGATAGAGAATTTTTCGATTTTCAAATAGGGCCGTTTTTTCGCAATTTTGTTCAATAACGCTATGCATTTGCAGCTGTTGATGGTTTTTTCCTTTTCAAAATAGTCCATGGTGTGAGGGGATAAAGTCATGTATCATCTATTGTCACATATCGACGCAAGAATTCTGGTTTTTTATAGTGGAACAGCTTCAAATACTGCTCAGAATCATCAACTCGTTGTTTTTACGATCGATTGTGAGCTCTCGCAGCACCCACTTTGAACGGAGCTTTCGCGTACCCAAACATTCATACACGATGTCCAACACGTTCCTTCGATATCTGTACAGCCTCAGCTATGTCGATCAACTTCATTTCATGGTCATCCAAATTTTTTTTCGTGTACTTTTCTGAATTTTTTCTTCGTTAACAGCCTGTTTCGGGCATCCACAACCAATGTAGGCCCCAGTAGTGATCTTTGAGGAACCCCAAGATCTAACGTAACGCCATTTGAAACCTATTCAAAACAAACCGGTTGAAGAACCTTCATCTTTTCATTGATTTTCTACCACTAATTAAGGAAGAAATTGAATCATTTCACCACGGTAGATTGTTTTCAGTTTTCTGTAAAGTTTTATAATAGCTGCAACTATCGTTTTCCAATTAAATTTTTGTAGCTGTACAAACGAGCAACAACATATGAATTTGAATAGAATCTTTTGGTAACCCTGAAAAATGCAGGCACTTCCTGAAACACATCCCCATTGCCTATCAAGAAGACCGAGCCACCTAATACAGGTGGGTTGCGGTGATTCAAAGTAAACCATGAAATTTGTATCTTTCAGCATGAATTACTTCCTAACCTTGTCATGACGTACTCGTGGGGATACAAAGTATAAAAGCTTTCTATGGCGGAAGGTACGGCTGTTTACTCTATTTCGTACCGGTACCATTAGTGTCCAATCCAGATGAGATTTTACGTAAGTATGGTCGTTTTGTTTACATTTTGTGGTGTGGAAGTGACGTGGGGTTTAGGGGCGAAACCACCCGGAAGGATGATTTCATGATGAACAGAAAAGGTCATAGACTGAACCATCTGAAACGTAACACCGTATTTTTTGGAAATTTCCAACAATAACTTCGATTCAATCCATATTTTTCATTTAACTTACGGAACAAGGCAAAATTGAACACTTACGTTTTGTGTTTATTGGTTTTCTACTCTAGAAGAAAGAAAACGAGTCAAGCAACGAAATGTACTTTTCATTCACTTCAAGGTCACTTATGAAAATTTTTGAAAGTGGTTCGCCATGAAACTTATGTGTGACTGAGGCCAGTCTTTAGATTTTTATTGATGTGGTTCCACCCTATTTAGTTGCATGGAATTAGCATACAAATCACTTTTCTCATACAGAGTAACTATATGAAACCTTCCAAGATATGAAAGTGACTGTTTTATGTTTTTTCAAACAATAAACGATTTTTTTTTGGAATCGAAAAATTCATTCGAAAATGTATTAAATTTTTTTTGGAATCTAACTTATTTCATTGATGATCTATTTATTTTGTAGAAATTTATTTTGGATGTAGTATAAAAAAATATTTTCTTCGACGGTTTTTGGTGTTTTAAACCATAGCAAATGAAAAACTTTGTAGAAATCAGACAACAATCTTAATCTTTATTCTATATTCTTTGGAATCTATGTAAAAATTGACTGAATTGATTTATTGTTCATCATATGATGAAAAAGCATATTGGATATAGAAGAAATCAGTACCTATTGTTAAGGTAACTATTTTTTGAAAAAGTGTTCCAAAAAATTGAGAAGTCAATAATTTCGATTCATCCATTCATCATTTGCTAATGAATACATCTTTGAACTAAATGCACAATTTCAAAGCTGAAGAGTTTCTCAAAGGATTCAATTATTCATTTTGAGTTCAGTTATTTTGGAAAGTACATTATGAAGATTTATGACTGAAAAATGCGGTTTCTTTCCTAACAATAGCCTAACCCTTTCTGCATCGTATTTTGGTGCAATACTATGGCCCTGCTTAGAGTCATATATGAAAAATTAAGATCTCTAAAAAACCTATTTGAACGCATATACTACTGAGTGTGTAAATTTGACGTGTATAATCACAACTTTAAATACTTGAAAACTTCTTCGCATGTTGTGAAGGTTTGTTATTTGTAACATCAATAATGAATAATGAATAAAACTCTCTCTCTTAGTGTTCTTTGCTTTTGTTTTCATAGGCGTATGTGTCCAGACAAATAAAAGTCTCTCAATGGTTAAATTTTGATTTTTATGTAAAGCGAGAAATTAAACTTTCTATGTTTTCATACCGCTTGTTTTTGTAACTAACGTCTGCAGTTCCGTCAAACATATACGAAATGTCCTTAAAGGACGAAACTGCAGAGACGACAGTTACAAATACAAGTGGTATAAAAACATAGAAAGTTTTATTTATAAATTTTTATGATGATTTCCTACCACGTAGTAACTTTAAATAGAGATATTTCTTAAAATTGGATACAAATATATAAACATTCTCTTTTTGTTTTGTATCTTCGTCCAATTTCAATGGAGTTTCCGAGATTATTAGAATACTATTGGAAGTTTCAAATTGATAACTTTTGATTTTCCAAAATATATTCGATGAGTAAATTTTCAAAACAACAGGCACATAGATAGATGACAGAATTTTCAAAATTGTTTCATTTTTCGATTTTTCATCAGTAGCTTTCTAAAACTTCATTGATACGTCCACCGATAAAGTTACTAGTTCAGAATGTTTATCGAAATTTCGGTTATTGATTTTGCTCTGAAGAATAAAAAAACATGTTTAAAACGAAACTAAATAAGGAGCATATACATTTGAATTAACGAAAACAACAAGAGAATCTATACAAAAGAAGATACAACCATGGAAATGATGTTAAAATCAATAAGAGATACCTGCAAATTATGTTAAAATTGCAAAAATATAACTCAACTCTGGAATTGTTGTCATTCTGGTTATTGACAGATAGATTGCATCAAGAGAAATTCATTCAATACGTGAATTAGTAATCGCAAGAACTCGATCAACAGTCGAAATAATACAAAACTTGGGCAAAGTGATTTTTTGCTGAATTTTCTCACCTTCATCGATATTTCATCATTCATTCTGTAAAGTTTCTGATATAATATCTTTCTTTAACTTTCAGTTTATATGTAATGAATTTCGTAGATGTAACTATCACTGAAATTATTAATAAACATAATTCTGCAATTTTCCACAAATCATCTTAAAGGGACATGGTCGTACATAATTCTTCGATACATCCTAACAACTTAAAGATGTAGCTTTCAATATCATGCTTCACAGACTACTGAATATTGCACTGTCGAAAAGTGAACAGAAAGAACTGAATTTTATTAAACAAATCGCTGTCAACAAAAATCACAAGGCAGATATGATCGACTCTACTCATTTCAAAAAACTGCGGAAACAAGTTATTAGTTCTAATAAACCGCCCTTCAAAAGAGATTTTGACAGTCCCTTGTGTTTTTCCAAAACATTGATGTAATCCGTGTACTTTTCGTCTTAGTTTGATCACCCTGTTTATGAATTTCATGATACTTATTCACGTTCACGTTCAAATCAATTGAAAATCAGACAAATTCACAAAAGAGTAGCTGATCCTTCTCAAAGTTTTCATTTCAGTTCATTCTTCAATTTGCTTCAGCTTGACGATTCACAAATACTTGGGAATATCGTTTATACATATAGTGTTGCAAAATCTCATAGCAGTATATATTTCCACAATAATAATAGCATTGTGATACTGATATCTTAGGTCTTACCTTGATGAAAAAAAAAGACAAAGGACCCACCTTTCTATTAACGGAGTGAATAATATCTCTACTGAAAGTTGTTCAGATTTGCCACCCATGACTAACAGTGTTTACAATTAGCATCATTTCAAGGATCAATGATTCTTTTTCTTTTCGCCTGAACCAATTAGCAACCACAAGAAAGATTCTTCAAATCACTTCCTGTTCAATAATATCTATAATGTTTTATTACAGGGTGATTGTTTGAGGAATCATTTTCAGTACTTTACTCTAGAAAGCATTAGCTCTTCGTCGCTTAGCGAAAGGACGCTGTAGAATTATATTCCCAAAGATAATAGGGGCCTTGTCGATAACTCGTCTGATTGTTGATTCAATTCAATGTACAACAGATTAGCCGTTTCTGAGTAATTAGCAGTTTCATATTTGTTTTGGAGATATGCAAACATAATATGACCATCATTATTTCAACAAAAATGTTATTCCAATCTCACTTCAGTTCATCCCCGTGAGTGTGTAAAATGATTGGTGGTGCTTTGAACGGTCTTCTGAAGCACCTGATATGACACACTTGGAAATTTCATAATACGTCTTTACTCACCATTGAAGTAAAATTGAAACAAACAAAAAGAGGAAAAAGAAAACAACACTATAAAGGTGAATAGGCGGCGATTTATGAAAACTTGAGTATGAGTTACGTAACCTCATTTCATTTCAGAACCATGATACCTTTTCATGTTAATTTTGTCTCACTTTGATATCTAGTTCAATTCCAAAGTTGAAAGGGGTGACTTTTCACATCTGCACTGTATCCAAAACCACTATTATAGTTTATCCATACTTCCACTTTCAAAACTCAAAATAACTTAAAAAAAATGACATTTTCAATTGTATTTGCTGAAAATATCCACAAGCTATACCTAGTCCTCGCTGAATGCTTTTTACTATGTAATGAAAAATCTGCGATCATTTAGATTTTTTGTGGATATATGGTTTCACAAATGAATTTGAATTATTTTTGAATTGTTTCATTCTAACTTTACTTGGATAACTGCAAACTAGTTTTCTGTAATAGGAAAATCAACGACTTCATTTCAAGTTTTGCACTGTTTTCCAATCGTATTCGTCTATAAATACTCAATATCCTACAACTTATTGGTACGCAAACAATACCATGCACAGTTCAGTCTCAAGCTTTGAAAATGATTTATACATTAAAATCAAGCAAAATTTGGCACGTTTGACCTCCCCCAAGCCATAATGAACCCAAAGTGAACATTAAAAATACCCAAACTCAAAACCTACCTATGAGATTCAATTTGTGTGTTGTCAAAGTAAAATCTAGGAAAAGTATGATACCATATAGTGATAATTGAAATTCGTAGCAAACAAAAGTGAAACAATTCAAAATTTGTATAGATGAACTTCAAATGTTCAAGCCTCTCGGATATACCTACACAGTAGGTTGAATGGACTAACGCCTATGAGAAAACAACTACTCCACTGGCTAATACCACGAACGGCGTTGGATTATATCCGACAGACGTCAGAGCAGGAATCTTAACAGAAAATTTCCTGCATATGCAATTGGCAATACAACTGAAAGAGTCGACCCTCAATTTTGGAACGAGCAGACCGGTTTCGGGCTCCTTAGCCACTCGTCAGTGCAAGATAGTGACCATCATCGACCTAAAGTCAATGATATTCCATAATTGAAAATCGAAATCCTTTCAGAGTGTTTCATTCCCCGTCTTAAGTTGAATCGAACATCGAAAATGTCACTCCATCTAGTGGATGAGGTACTAACCAACTGCATATCCGTAATTTGCACGATTCCTCTGAATAAAGAAGAAAAACTTTGTCATTAGTCAGTGGGCTATGCTTGAAGCCCGGCAGTAAACAAATCTATAGAAATGAACTTTAAATGTTCAAGCCCGTCGAACGGCGTTTATTTATTTCATTGGAAAATGAATTATTTGTCTGAATTATTCAAAATTTCAAAAACTTTTCCAGGTTATCAACTTCAGAAATGGTTGATATCGATTTTACTGATTAGCTACTGGAGACAACACTAATATCCAGATAAAAACTTCTGATTGGACGATATAATTATCTGGAAAACAGCAATCACAGAATATAATTGATATTATTATTATATCCACTGATATACTCATAGTTTTTCCAAAGTTTCAATTATAAATTTCTTTGATATACATTTTTTAATTTTTTGCTGTCAAATTGTTTTTTGCTACAAATATTACTGCACCATAAAAGCTCAATATTATCAGCACTATAAGAGCAGAGTGAGTTGTTATATTAAACATTCTCACTCTCTCGAGTCTTGAAACATTTTCATGTACAATCCGAAGTGCCTTTGTCACTTTTTTTCCAGTCTTATTCAAAATGTCCTTTCCTTTCAGATCGTAGCGGCCGCCCTTTTGGCCGTGGCTTCGGCAGCCTCCAAGAAAGAATACGCTCCACCCGTGGCCATCTTGAAACAAATCGACAAGCACAACGATGACGGCTCCTACAGCTACGGCTACGAAGCTGCGGACGGAACCTTCAAGATCGAAACCAAGTACCCGGATGGCGAAGTTTACGGCAAATATGGATACATCGACGACACCGGAACCTTGAGAGAAGTGGAGTACGGTGCCAGCCGCAGAGGTTTCGAACCAACTGGAAATGAAATCCAGGTGGCGCCACCTACTCTGAGAAATAGCCAAGCAGCCCCAGCGAGGCCTTTAGCTCCCAATGAGGAGGACGATGGGCAGTATCGCGAGGATCCTGCTATGTACTACAAGGACGATCCCTATGCCCAGCAACAACCCCAGCAAAGGGAATACCAGCCTACTGGCAGGTACCAGCCATCCAGTAGGTACCAGCGACCACAGTCTATTTACGCGGAGCCTGAGTACGAACCTGAACCTTACAGGCCTATTTACCAACCGGAAACAACCTACAGACCGGCTTACAGGCCACAGGCTTCTCACAAACCTCAACCTTCTTTCAGACCTCAATCCTACTACGCGCCTGATCCAGAACCTGAACCTGAGTACAGGCCAGTTTACAGGCCTGATCCGCCCAGGTCGTACTACCAACCCCAACCTCAGCCACAGCCTGCTTATAGGCCCCAGTCCAACTTTGGGTTCAGTAATGATAATAATTATCACAACCCACCTTCCTATAACAATAACTATAGCAACCCTCCTTCCTACAATAACTACGGTGGCCCTTCTTGGCAAGGTCATCCTGCGACAAATGTCGATATCAATACAGGATCGTACTCAGTGAGTTATAAAAGATAAATATTTCTAGAACGGGTTATACTATTTTTAGTTTGGATAGGATAAGGTAGATATTTATGTGTAGATATCGCTCAGACTGTTGTAGGGAGCCATCATTGGTAGTCTTACTTTTTCTAAATTCATTATTCCAGTACGAGATAGTAGAAAAAAATATCCAGGTCTTCCATTTGGGATCGAAACTATATTTTGTCAAATGTTTCAAACAAATGACGGTTTTGAAGTAAGTGGTCGACTTTTATGCTGAGGACTGCTTCTGAGAGATCAAGAAGCAAGTGGTTTATATTTCCCGTTCGATGAAAACTATATCCGTACATTCAAAATGGTAGAATTTTTGACTTTGTAACACCTACGAAAGGTCTTCTATCTGTGTTAATCTCTGACTTAATCGAGATTATTCTAAATTCTTCAACCCATATATGCAGGAGAGAAGCATTACAGAGTCTTGACGAAATGCTCTCAAAAAAGTCTCGTCTAATTTGGGCTTCCAGAAGGTACAGAATTTTACAGTTTTGTAGTGTAGGAACCGAAAATTGATTTGCATCAACTAACTTCTGTATTGATGGAGTAATAGTCCCACTCAACAAAATTTCCTTTCACTGAATGACACAATAATTCATCATAAATTTAGTTAGCTGATTACACATAGAAAATTTACATTTGTAAACTATCATTGAACATTTATTCTGATAACAGCAATGTATTCATTCAGTATATCAATTTCGCCAGTCTGTAGAACAATTGATAGGAACAAATGTTAATGTAACTGCTCCAGGGCTTGTAGAGTGAGTTGAATCAGCTCTGTTGAAACAATGTCATCTTAGTATCCAGATGGAATACTATGAAAAACTTTTGTGAAATCGAATCTCACTATATTCAATGACTAGGAAAATCTCCATCATAGTGACGGCAACTTTTATTATATTTTAATAAGTAGGTGAGATCTAAAAACATTGAGAATTAATAATTTTCACAGAAAAACAAAGCCTTGCTCCAAAAACCAAGAAATCAGTCGTTTTGAAAACTTTAAAGGCTTGTTTTCCTTTGCATGGACCAAGGAGTATTTTCATATATATGTGGAATAATTTTAATTTTGATCAACCAACAAGTCTTTCCACAAAAACATAGATAATTTTGAGGATGTTTTTATCTTCAAATTGTCATATAATCATCCAATAAATCTTTATTTGAGAAAGCCTATTCCTGTCTAACTGGTATTTGAATAAAATTATACCTAGCGATTTCTCAATGGAAATAGATAATCCAGTTTCACAAAAAAGTCCTAATCTACTTGAGTTTCAGAGTTATTCGACTTTGACTGATTTTCAAGAAGAACTCCATTGGCTTTTAAGTTTTCGTGACAACTGCTACTGTGAAAAGGCATTAGATAACTTCTATGCTCATTTTCCTTATAAAAGTTCATTCCAAAAAGCTGAATATTTCTTGGTCGAAATGATGTTTTATTGTTGCTTTTGTCGAAAACCAAAAAACACGTCAGGATTGTGTTTGAAGTTTTTGGAAGTTTCATGTCAATTTTACAGCTATAGATTTCCGAAAGAAATGATCAGCATCAGTAGAAGCACGAGAATTCAGTTATAAGAGGCATCAAAATAGTCAACCCAAAATCATAAAGAGATCTTGCCTAATAAACAGCCACAAGATTTTGAACTTGATGATGAATAATTGATAGCTTAGAAGCTGTGGGTGTCCCAAGAACAGATTTACCTCTTATCTCTTCTAGATAAACAACAGTTTCAATTTATTATTATTTTTTATTTATTACACACATTGACACATTTGTACATATACCTAGATATTCAGCAATATCTTTGTTGTATTTCTCAATTATCCAATAAAACTTCGAAACAACCTCGTTTTACTTTTCATATTACTCCCAGCAATTTCTTGAAGCAATCCTCAAAATTATCCTCGCCTGACATTACGAAGAGTTCAAACAAGGTGTTATCGCTTCCTAGATGTACTATTCTTACCATACTCCACCTTTGTCGAAGAAATAGTTTCTTGATTGCCACCAGAAGAATAAAGGAATTCTCAATGTATTTTATGTCGAATGGGTGGAGCCAGGAAAACCTTGAGAATTGCGTGGAATGCAATCTAGACCGGCAAAACTCCCACTGAACTAGTTCTTAACATTTGATCTTTCGCAATCTACTCGCGTCTAGGTGTATGAGAGGATAATTGCCTGGCAATTCATATATCTTGAAGAATTCATAAAGATACGAAGATAATCGATTGCAAGATAAATAGTTCCAGCTGTGAAGTAAGGTGGGTTTGATTTATTCAGGAAATAAATCGATGAACATCAAGAGGTGTGTGTGATGTATGGTGTCTTCATGTTGATAAAGTATTTTACCTTCGTTAAATATATTTGGGATGAGGCTCACAATTTTTAAGCTGTCTCAGTTTTGCAAAAAAACTAACAGTTTCAAATGAGATGGAATTCTTTTTTCCATTGATCAAATACTGTAACTCTACCCATGACAATCTTCAGAAAACTCGTGCTAATAGAGGATTAACGAGGTCTTATTCTTTATAGAGTGATTTTCTGTCCGACTGACTCCAATATCATATTAAAAATGTATATTCTGTTAAAACAAATATAATAGTTATATACAAAGACGTATAGCAGCGTCTTGCTGTAAAAAACCAAAACCAACAAAAAATAAAGGGTTCCACAAATAAATATTGTACTTCTGAACGTAGACCTTCAGAACCTACACATCTCTCTTGACGGTTTCACTCACAAGTGAAAATCTGCTTGTCGAATATTAAAAATGCTACGCTGTATATTAAAAAATTTGTTCCAAAGGCCGATCATTTTGAATTATTGAAAACTGAAATAATGAACAGTTGACAATATTGAGAAGAGTTTTTATCCAGGAGAGATTAGGTTTTCAGAAAATAATGGTTTTTGGCTTTCACTTTTCCATAAAAATATTGTGGGACAATTCTAAAGAAAGGAAGAAAGCAATTAGGTTCAAAATGGAATTGAATTAGGTGTTTGTTATAGAAACGATACAAAATTTAGTTGATATAGGAAAAAGTTACAATATGAAATATGATACTTTTCTACTCATATCATCGATGACGGTGCGAAATGACATTCAGTCGTTTATTTAATTCATTTCCAGCCATTAATATCTTGTTCAAATTGAAAGGGGTATATTTCTAGTAGAGTTTAGTTTTTATAAAAAAAGTTTTTGGCTTTCACTTCTTCAAGTAAAAGTGATTGTTGAATTGTGACTTTCAATTGGATGACTCGGAAAAATTATGAGAACGAAATGGAAAACTTGTGACCATTTTTAAAATAGTACAGAATTATTATATTCAGGTTTGTTGCCCATTTTTATGAAAATCATTTCTTTTCATCAACATGGTTATTTTGCTGGTGAAGATAGAGCCCCTGGTTTCATTATATGTGTGAAAAATTTCTTTGACAAAGATGATATCAATGACTTCTATAGAACCTTCAGGCACACCAATAGAAATTTCTTTAAATTCGTATATCTCCTAGTTACAGATTGTTTGATAGAATATAAATAATAACTTATGGAACAGCTGTAACCTTGGGCTCAAAACTCGTATAATTCAATAGTAGAAGAGAACAGCTAATAATCTGATTTATTTTTCGTTTTTTATGCGTGTTTCAGGAGGTCATCTGGCACACTATTAATCACTTGTTTTTATAAAACCCGGAATTCTTTCAGTAAAAAAAACGGGCACAGTTTTGAAGTTTCATTAACATTTATAAATGAAGGTTTTATTCACATGGTAACTGTGGATTTTTTCAAGTCAACTGTATTCGACAAATATGAGAGAAGAACTACAATTGACGTATGATTTCTAACAGCTGGATCGAAAAGTCCCGGGTTTAACAGAAAAAAACGGTGAATGCAAAAAAAAACAATCGCCATCTAGAGTCTTTTCAGCCCATGTAGTATGATGAGCAGCATTTTCAAAAGGAAACTATTATTTGACAAATTTGCGTTACTGAAAAAATTGGTGAAGGTTCCAGTTTACAGTGAATAATAATTTATTAAATGGAACTGGTCGACACTTGAGGAAAATCCACATATATCATTATTGGTTTTGATGCTACCACTTTTTGTTGCATTCAACAGCATGACTCACATACTGGTGAATGTTTTTTTGCCGGATGTGAATTTCAGTAAAAAACATAATCTAATGAAATAGATTGCTATTAATTATGGTTATGATGGCAATCTAATAGATTCTTCACTGTACACTCAAGTCATAACGGTAATATATTTGGGCCAACCTATTCGGGAGATTCCTGATTTCCTGAAAATAAAATAGGGGGAAATGAAGCAATCATAACTTGAATGAGCGTATTAAAACCACCAGCAAAGTTTTGGTGTCAGATTGATCAGGAGTTTGTGAATTGTCTTGTGGTTCATGTGCGATATTTCACATAGGTCAAACTGAAAGAGCATTCAAGCACGTATGAAAGACCATTGAAACAGTTTTCAGAATGGAAAAATAAATTCGAAGTATGCTGCTGATCACGTCACAGAGAAAAATGAGGTCAATCATGAGTTCAAAACTCTTCACTGCCAGAAGGATCATTCGATTCTTCCCCTTATGGAAGGTATGGAGATCAATAGGTACAGGTAATTTATCGACACTATTGAATTAATGATTATACCAGTTGATGATATGATTGTATTTGCCTGCTGCACAGGTAGTCAAAACTAGATGAGAATTATTCATCTGATTGAACCGTAGCGTAGGTCAGTGTTTTCAGAATATGAAATGTTCCAATCTGAGAGTAGTTGTACAGCAAAACACGTATTATGGATTTGTATACCTTTTATAGTGAGAATCATAATGAATCTTATCTGAAGGTTTTGAAAACTGAGCAACATTTTTTCTCTCTCATAAGTACATATAAATCAATAGTGATGGTTCAAATATCCAAATACGAGTATAGAGGCAATACAACAATAATGTTGAATGTGGAAGAGGGCAGAGAAAAGAGAATCTCAGCCAAAATTTTCATCAAAAAAGAATAAGAGGGAAAAATAAAATAGTGTGGATGTGAATAACACTGGACTACCTGAAATACTCCAGAAATGAGAATGTAAAACAATAGTATTTTGACTGCAACTGACCAGTTATTGGACATTTCATAACATTATTTTGGAAAAAATATATTAGCACATAACTTTCTTATCGAATTTCAAATATTTCTCACTCTGTACTCACTTAAAGCAATATGGGACAGCGATATAAGTCCTGAAATTTTAAAAAACAATAATGGTGTTCCGTTTAGACAGAGCGCTGAGCGAAAAGCCCAAAAAGTCACCCTGTACACTAAATTATTGTTTGCAAGAACCATACGAATAACAAATTCCAAACCTTCATCAAACTTATCGACTTTTTCACGAACGAATAACTTCTGATAGTGACACGTTCATAAACTTCCTACTGGATACCAACTACATCTTTGGTAGTTTTTTATGAAACCGCAAATGATTAAACGAATATAATGTTACTCGGTAAAGCAGTATACAACATAGGTGATTGTAAAATTATCTACAATCTTTCAAAAAGAATTTTTCACTTCCAAACGCCGATGCAGCTGTTTTTTTGTGTGAATAAAAGTGTATTGGTTTTTTAAAATGCTCCAGTATTAGATAAAATTATCCTTTCTCTTCCATGAAAAAAAGTAAATTGTGTGTGAGTTATCTAATACTGAAATATCGATTGATTGAAAAACGAACATAATTATTTTCCGAATCTGTCAGATAATAAAAATAAATCACCAGTTGAAAGTTATATTGTAACCTTTCTTAGTTAGTTGAGGCAACTACTTATAAAAACTTTCTTTCCGATTCAAATAAAACATGATCCGTTGACTTGATTTGTAATTTCAGTTTTGACGTATGGTGAAAGGTTTCACAATTATCAGATGTTACACTCGGCTTTCAGTATAATCTACAAAGACATTTTATGTTGATTTTATGGAACATACATATGTAAATGTCATACTTCAGCGAGCATTTGGATGAAACTAATGTAAATTAATTTCGCAATTGTATGGGAATTTTAACGAATTAGAATTGGACCCCAACCGTAATAGCAGACTTAGTGTTTTGCTTCCATTTCCAATTGGAATGTGTTCTATAAACACAAATATTATGGTGCTATGACATAACTACATCAGAATTTTAATGAATAAAGTGAATTTGAAAGATTTTCGAAATGAAATAGTTTGTTCAGAAATAGCTCAAAACAAAGATAGTTGTTTTTTAGAATATTTTTGAAACAAAGTCAGCCATATTTATATAGCCCTTCGAGTTACACTGTTCTATTCCTACTTATCTGATTTGCGAAAGCAACATCTGATTTCACCCTTAATGATGACAACAACTAAATCATATTAGTTGAAAATTCGATGGAAATGGCAATCAATCAATTTCAAATTGATTCAGTTTCGAATTCTGTAACGGAGGAGTTATATTACAACAGTCAAACGAACATTTATTCAAGACAGGAATTCTACTCGTTATGTACTTAAATTGAAAGGGTTATATTTTAAGGAGTGGAAAGGAAGTAGAAAGCCAAAAACTTCCTTTCCCTAAAAATTTTTTACTCTTTCCAATATCTGATACTTTCAAAAATACTAGTATGTAATACGATATGAGTACAGAAGTGCCTCAGTAACTTTCATTATAAATGAACCCAAGCTTTGAAACAGTCAAACGAACATTTATTCAAGACAGGAATTCTACTCGTTATGTACTTAAATTGAAAGGGTTATATTTTAAGGAGTGGAAAGGAAGTAGAAAGCCAAAAACTTCCTTTCCCTAAAAATTTTTTACTCTTTCC